ATCAATTTTATAATTGCCCGAAATCAACATCTCCCTGTTCAGAAACCCGTTTCAATGGAAACTTCTCTGAAAACCCGGTTATCTGGCAACTGCCTGCTTAACATTGTCTACTTACTACGATTTGGTTCAATTTCTTCAAACTACACGTCAGTATTGAACCCCCTCCAAAAAACAACAAATAAATCGGTGTCCTACTTCAAATGTGCAATTTCGGAATCCTTCTTCTGCGCGTCCGATACAACCTGATGGGCCAATTTGGTCTTATCGGCCACTTCGCGGCGCAATGTCGCATTCTCATCCGTTAGCTTTGTCTTCTGTAAAGACACAACCGTCTTTTACAACGTACAACATTTCTGTTCACATCGTCCATTTTTCTTCACTTCCCGAAACATTCTCAACAACAACATCAACACGCATTCTTTTCCCGTTCCACATACATATTCCGTTGTGCTCTCATTATTCAACACAACACTTTCCCATAAAAAATCCTGCCTGCCTTCCATTTTCTACTCTGAATATCTCAATCAAACCAGCAAAACTATCTCCACATCCAACTCACCAGTGCTCCTGTATCGCTGAAATACGCAGCCAAGAAGGACAGATACTCTGGTTCCAAGTCGTCGACTGCACTCAGTCGAGTATGCAGCTTATCGACCGTGATGTCACGCACCGAGATTGCAGCTGAAAATCGCGNCTCTACAAATGATCTACTTTGCGAGAGCAAGCAGCGCAAAAAATATCAACGACCATGTGTATGCGCGTTTGTTTGCTATTTATATTCAAAGGGAGCAATTCATCGCATCGCATTTTTTGATGCGATGCGATGAATTGCTCCCTTTGAATATATCGCTATTTGAATATTTCATATTCAAACAGCTACTGATGCGATGAATTTTTATGACACTCTCAATTATAACAATGCATGATATTATCGGACACAAAGTCATTAGCCAGTCTTTCATGCAGAGACCTTCAGCTGTCCCCGTCAGCCTTCTCAGATTCACCTTGATACTATTCTTGTGATTCGTCCTTCAACTCCCCATAATCAATATTTGACATTCTTTCAAATTCCAATGAAAAATTCCACGAATTACATCAATTTAACGCCCAAACAAACAATGCGTAGAAAATCCGCTCCGCTTCACTGCGTTACCAAACCGACACGACAGATCAATTGAATATGTATGTACGAGTCTTTACGTACCTCTGCACTTTACACGACAGCAATTGTCATACCAAAAAAATCCCCACTCAACTTCTAACAAAAAANTAGTCTATATACGAGATCGGATGTGGTTCAAAGAAGACGAATGTTGCGGGCGATGAAAAGACCGAAAGATGTCACCATTCGACGAAATAAAAGAAAATTTGAAACAACGAATTAAAAGAATACCATTCCACAATATCATTATGAATATATGTCTTTGCTTGCACATTTTATCAAAAACAAAACCCATTATTCATCATTGTTTACCCCAACAATAGGAAACAAAATGCAACAATAAAACCAGCGAACACGAGTCATAAACGCAACACTCAGTAATCACCGTTCACTATTTCGCTGACTGTGATAATCATGATGATTGATATTTATGCAGAAATAAAAAAGTTAAGAATTTTTTTGTTCAGTTTCTTTCAGAATTCCAAAACTGTTCGCGCATTATGGTTATATTGAGAGAAAAACAAAATCGGCGAGTTCGTGCCTTTTTAAATTTGAGACAAAATGATTTATGCAATTCACATCGATGTGCGCAAGAAACGTACGTTTTTTCGGTTTTGGTTTCTCTTTTTCGGGCTTTTTCTCCTCTTTCGCCGCAAGCACCTGTTGCTTTTGCTCCTTTATCGGTTCGGTGCTCATCAACGGTTGCATTTCCTCTTTGGTGCCCACCTCATGCAGTTGTTCTTCTGCGCGACGAGCACGCTTCTTTTTCGCCTTCTTCTCGACACCTATAAATTATCAATCAAATAACATTTTCACGTAACTTTATCTCATCGATANTCGGTCATTATACATTCGAAAAAAATGAAGCCTCATTCTTCGTGTGTCATTTCATCTCTGTGTTGAAAAGTTCCTTGAGGTATTGCTCATCAATACTAACCTACCGAAATGAATCATGACAAACCCATCAACAAAATAATCTCCATCTGGCTAGATAAAAACTCATAATGACTCATAATCTCATATCAAATCACAACTTTCCAGTTCTTTGCTGAATTTTCATGTGCAATGAACAATGAAAGCATCCAGCTATCCGAATCACTTCACCACAATCTGATGAATATTAACCTTCTGCAGATGCTGAAGAAGTTTCCTCGGTGCCTGCTACCTCAGCAACTGCTGGACTTGCACTCTTCTTTTGGCTCTGCTGAGTTGCTTTCACTTCAACTTTGACTGCTACCTCAGGCTCGTCCACAACATTTTGCTTCTCATGCGACGGTGGCGGTGTGTTTCTTTCAACCGCTTTCGTCTCTTCTGAAACAAGTTGGAAGAATGAAGCGAGAACAGCTGATATGTGGGTACGAAAAACATGTCAAAAACTAGAATTTGTTTGCATTAGGTAATTAACTACTTAACCAACTACTTAACTAATTAACTGCATTAGGTAACCAACTACTTAACTGCAAAGAAACTATTTGACTCTTTGCAAAAAATCAAAATCTATTCGCAACTGAAATATACGCATTACATCCATCCATGATCATTCGAAACAGAAGCAGTCCACAATATAATAAAACTCGATGAACAATGCTCAGTACACCTCAGAATAGTGAGAATGGTGCTCTTTACTCAGGAAGTAACCAACTGTGAACAAAATCATAAAACATATCGATCGATCGATTTCGTTCTCCAATTTTTTGGTAATCAAATGCTCGATTATATTTATCGAGCAGAATCTCGCAACAACATTCTCTCAGGTACCTGCTTCTTGGTGTTGTTTATTCTTATTCTTCTTTTTCGTGTGCTTTGGCATCTCCTGCTGCAACACTGGCATCTCATCAACAATCTTCACATTCTCTTCGTCCGGTTGCTTGACATTCTTTGCATCTGCCATCTTTTCTGGCTTAGCATGTTCCAGAACAATTTGCTGCGGCTCCTCGGATTTTCTCTGAAAATGATTAAGAACATAAAATCCATGAAGTGTTCATTCCGATACAATCCACCTCCTTAATTAATGACCATATGATCGATCTGTTTGCTTGACCACTTCAATGCTAGCTCCTATAATGATTCACGTATTTATTCAAATTCACCACACAACTATTCATTTCGATCCTGTTCTCAAATACGTGACACATCATACTCCAAATAATAATCCCTCAGTTGGTCAATGATAAAAGCTAACCACTTCGTTCGATTATGAAGTCACTATGCAATAAAATCTATATCGCGATCACAAAATATACTTCACAATTTACAAAATATACCTCGACTGTTTTAGTTTGCAGTTCAGAATCGCTTGTACGTTTCTTCTCTTTCTCTTGTGCGTGATCCTTCTTTTTATCAGCATTCTTCGCTTTGCTCTTGGTGGATTTTGTCGTTTTTTGTTTGCCGGTTTTCTCCTCGGCAAATAGACGCATTGCATTCTCGCCGTATACCTTAATGTTCCAAAATACTCAACGATCATCACACGAAAATTGATCAACTACTTCATTTAAGATTAGCCGGGTGTATTCTTCAGAAATATTCTTTATTTCGAAAATTCGCGATATCAATCACTCGACGAATCATTCGATAGAAAAGAAATGACGACTCCAACCAAAACAAAAACGTACATCTTCGAAAGTGGTCTCCTTGGTTAGCATTTTGAAAGCGGCCAATGAAACGAGCACAAAGAACAGGGCCAATATGCCCATGATTCCCACCGTCATCGGCTCCATTATGTGTGCTCACACGAATACGACTGCTCCAATTACACACTCCTTTCTAGACTGAAAAATTTTGAAGCACATTTTTCGAAATGAAATCTAAAATTTCACTCAACACAATGCTCATTTTACTCGGCTTCTCGTAACATGACAGCTTAGAAGTGATCACTTGCAAATTTTCATTCTAAAATGAAAATTTCGGGTAATAAAAAACAGATATCCAAAAACTATATAAATGATTATGAAAGATGCTATACTAATTTAGAATTTTAAAAAATGTTGTTTATACTCATTACTGTTACCTAACAATAACTACAATACAACTTCACGAATGGTGACGATTGTTATCAATAATAAGGCCAGACAAAGACTTCATTAGAGCCGAACTGGAGTATAAATTTGCATATTTACATTTCATTACGTTATGTAGCCATAATTTCCAAATAGCTACAACATGAATTTTTACGTGGCTACTGTAAGCGATCACTGAGCACATGTTCATTCGATCAACAGCAATGTATTTTCGGGCACTTTTTGAACCTCTTAGCCCAAAAATTTCGGCTTTCGGGCTCTCCCCTTAGAAATCACATTGGGCACTACTGAAAGTAGCCCAAAATCTCTGTGCTCGTCAGCTGTATCAATAATCAAAATCAGAATTTCATGAAGATAGATGATTGCCAATGTTGTTAACTGTTAGCTGTGGGTGAAGAAGGAAAGCAATGAAGCAAGAATGTGATATTTGTGATTTTGGTAATAACAGAGAGGCATAAACTCGTAATGAGTTGAATTGCTGAATAAATAGATAGGATTTTCTGTTAAAATTATTGAACTCTGTCAAAACTACATTAAATTATCGACTTAAAGGTAAGTTATTGATTGAATTTAAAATTTTGGAAGCCTTGGAATTTATTTATTAAATTAATATGACACGTCAAATTTATTTATTCATGAATAGGATCAAAAGCGCAATGAAAGAGTAGTGGATGAAATCACAAACAACATGGAAAACATAATTTTTAGTACGACGAATTATGTGTCAGCAGTATAAATACTGTTAATAATGATGTGAACTAATAACGTACTGGTTGCTTTCATGGTTACAGACTGCAATTGGAGCGAAAATAAAAGATGAATTTCATTAGCATAAAATTTCCAATAGAACAGTGTGCATGGTATGTTTGTGTGCTTGCATACACCTGTTTGTATACGTGTCACCTAATTGTAAGCGCTACGAAACGAGTGGAGATTTATTTGCATGCGACATGCGTATGAAAGTAATTGATAAAAACGATCGTATGAATGTAGTTTAAGGTTGTGCTTGATCAGGTGGGCGGTTGCCATATGTCTATCATTGGGCAGTAAAATATCATGCAAGATAACTGTGCGACGATTAGGCCTGACACTTGAGCATATACGTTAACAAACTGTTTTCAGTCAGAGTTCAATGAATACGAACTTGAAAGTGAAATCTGTACTGTGTCAGAAAATTTACAAGGTATGCAGAATTCGGAGGCATTGACCTTCGTGGAATTCAAGATAAGAGGAACCGACAGCAAGGAGAGTTCTTTCGAAAGTGTGAATTTGACAAACCTTGACTGATGGTAAAAAGTTGGAAGTGTGCAGCTTCGCTCCGTTCTCCTTGTGATCCCCCTCGTTATAGCTTAGTATTTCGAACACTTCGTGAAAAAACCTTCGAGTATGACCTTCAAATAAGATCCTTTCGATAACGGCGATTGAAACTGCAATCTCGCACGAAACGCTGATGATCAAACGATTCCTTTTACAATTAAAAAATTTCATCGGCCTAAAGTTCCATGATATTTCACCGAAATTTTAGTGCCGT